TATATATATATATATATATATATATATATATATATATATACTATATCAGGTTTTCTAAAATAGGTGCGGTGGAAAGTTGACGTCCTCATGGAACAAATTATAAAAATTTTATAATATATACTCACGACATGCAAACTTGTGGAATTGATTGGCAAATAATTATTCTGCGCACATATATGTATAATACACATTAACACTTGGTATCGGATGAATGTCTATCTCGGGTTATCCGGGTTAACACAACGTGATTGCTGCAATATCTATAGCCATCAACGTAATTGAGAGAGAAAACGCGCATAGCTTAGAATCGGTATAAACGTGACGGGATAACTAATTTAGAGTGACAATCATTACGCAATTACATAATAATGATAACATTAATAGCAAATAATGTCATATTCGTAATTATCGTATTAATAGTCAATCGTGCGTTAATAACGATAAATAATGCAAATGGTATGATTCATTAGAATGAACAATGTTAAACTAAGCACATTATTTCCAGAAACTATTCATATTTTTTCAATAAAATAAAACGTTATTCATATTAGTGATAACAAAAAAAATAAAATGAATAAATTTTTATTTTTATTTTTTTATATTTAAAGATTGACTAAATTATAAAACCACATTAATTTTTATGTTTACACGTGCGCATAATTATAAGAACAATAGGAACATGTGCAAATATGTGTACATGTGTTACGAAAAAAATTACTTTTAAATATTTAAACTCTCATAAATCACATTTTCAAAAAATTATAAATATAGTGCCACAAAATATGCGCAAATTTTTAAACAAACATGGTTCACAATCATGATTGATCAAATATACGTTTAAATTTCATGTCGACAGAGTCACAAAAAATTTTTCAAGAAATTTTACGATTCTTAGAGTAATTTCGGATAAGAATCAGATTATCGGCCAACACGATGAAAATACGATAAGCCTTTAAGGACTGAGAGGTGACAAAATGCGAGACCAGCGTCGAGAAATTGCTAAAATGCTGCAATACTTCGAGATGTTTCACGGTTATTTCTCTGTAATATCGTAAAGCCATCCAAAGATAGGATATATTGTACGAAATACGTGACGCTGTTGAACGCTTATTACTATAGCAAACTACCGCTACGAAAAAATGATATGGCGTAATGCCATTCAGTCAACATATATTGAGACATATAGAGGAAATCCCCGTTATAAGATAAGCGCCTAATATGAGATAGTGGCGTTTCTGCTAAACTAATAAACTAATAAACTAATAAACGCTATCTATTGGTTCCACTATGAATTTATTGCTCTTGGATTGAAAACTATTTAGTAGAAAATTCATTATTAGATCATGCCTATAGTTATTGTAAAACAAGATTTTAGAATTTGATGAATGTCTTCAAGTTTCATTGAGATGAGCCTTTAAATCTTGTTTATTATTTAATAAAAATAATTATTTGGCAATAAATTCTTCATGTAGTGATAGAGTAAGGTTATACTAATAGAAAAATACGGGATATGTTGAATTGTTTAATTATAGAAGTTATATTTGATCGTAAAACGTAAGACGTGGAAATCGTAATATGAGATACAGAATATTTCTAATGAACTCATGCTCCTATGTTATAGTGAAAATCATTGCTAAAGTATAAATATTATTGTACAATAATAAAAAAGACAATCGAAATAAACATCGAGTGCCTATTTCTGCGATGCTTGATTCCAACTACCCGAAGACGAATTCTGGGTATAATCTATCGCATGCTCATTTTTCGCGCACGTTGGCTATGTTTGTTTGAATTTAAAAACATTAAATAAAGTTTTTTAATTGTAATACTGATATTCTTTGCGTTTTATTATCGATTTTTCAAGGCATCTCATATTAGGAACACAATTTGATTTTGCGATTTGCTCACTTTTTATATTTCTTTAATTTAAAAAAAATGAAATATGAATTAAATTTTATAATGTTATCTTAAAGCTTGTTAAATTTCCTTCAAAATGATCTATTAATCTTTTTAAATTCTGCCTATAGAGCCTTCTATTTGCACATATCCAAAATGAACTCGGTATCTTATAATAGGGACCTTTTCTTTACATGTATATACACGTATATACATATACATATTATATAAACAATTTTTTTAATATAATGCTGATCAATATGTAACAATTGAAAGTATATATTTGATTATAATAATAATAATAGTGATAATATAATAGCTTTATAGTTGAAGTATGAGAGATATGAGATATTTTACAAAAATATGACAAATAATCTTGAAATAATGATGCTGCTTATAAGCTTAGCTCTTTAACGTAATAAAATTAATATAAAATAGTGAAAAAATTAATGCATTTAATCCCAAAGAAAGTTACAATTGTTTATTCAAAACTACCATAACTCCCATTTCAGTCAACACTCACCCTTCTCTATCGTTCGATTCGCAGACGCAGAAAGAGATGCAATCGTCGTTGCTGACGGCGGGGACAGAAATGAAATTCACAGGACGATACGGCTACGAGACCAACGCGAGCATAAAGGGCACTTTCGTTAAATTATGCATAGAGCATGAAAAATTCCCATGGCGAGCCCGGGTCCTGACTTCCACGAGCTGCATAAGGAGATTCGCATTATCGTGCATGTTGAATGACGAGAAGCGAGAAAGAGAGAGAGAGAGAGAGAGAGAGAGAGAGAGAGAGAGAGAGAAACCGAAGGGTAGCCTCCGAGAGGCCGGAGAGCAACCGGCAGTAGTATGAAATTTTTATCAGTGGTACACGACGAAAAGCATGTCCGGAATCGGAACCATTCTGTCCCCGAGCATCGTGAGAGCGAGTGAGCGAATGAGTTTTCACGCGAACAGATCTACAGAAAGATCAAATTTCATATTATTATATTACACATGTACTTGATATTTGTCTTTCTTCTATCAATTACATCGACATCTAAACTAAATCGACAGACTACATTAGGAAATTTTAATTAAAAATTTCTATTAACCTCTTTAATCTTTTTGCTATTTGTTCCAATTGTATTAGTTCCATATATATTTGAACACATCTGTGGCTAACAAACATAATTTTTTATTTGATTCGAGCTCTATCATCAAGTAACTTTTTTTATCTTATAATAATATTTTTTATGATAGAAAAATAATTGTTAAAAGTGTGAAATGTACAATCAACTAAAAGTATCAGTCAAAAAATTCAATATTATTAGAATATATATATAGAGTGTGTATAGAATGACTTAAAGAGTGTATTCAAAATAAATGAAAAATGCTTTTTTAAGTCATTATTAGCTAATATCAGACAAAAATTTTTAGTAAATACATCCTGAAACCAGATCAAAAAGAAAAACAATAATTTGATTTATAATGGCCTATACAGCTCATTGATTTTTATCTATATTTTATGGCAATTTTAGATAAATGATTTTTAAACGAATAAGTGGATCTAAATAAATTTTTGCACAAATATTTATTGAATATTTTATTAATATATAAAAAAATTTGATTTAATTTGCAACGCTACTTCCTCATCAAATTTGCAAATAAGTACTATACTAAAAACTATAAAAACACAATTTTACATAACATCAATGCAAACAAAAAGTTAAATAATCTTTAAACCAATAAAAAAATTGTGCTTAAACTTTACACAGATATTCAGATATAATAATAGAATAATCTATGAAATTTTTATATTTTTGATAATGCTTTGAGATGTGACATACTTCTTTAATATAATAATAAATTAATTTTATTATAGATTCTTATTACGAATTAGATTTTCTACTCTCCTAGAATAATTCTCCAGATTAGTTCCCATTTAACAAAGGAACTTTCACAAATTTAAAGCTAAAAGTTTTAATAAAAACAATATTCACTATACTGTAAATATTCGAGTAACCGTTTAAACAAACTCTACTAACGGCATCACTAAACTTAATATTACCTTGAAAATATTTCGCAAATGATTGATTGTTTACATCCAAATATATTTGAGAGCACTCACTTGATCTGTTTTCTGTTCTAGACTGCTCTAGAACTCTTTTCCTTGCTTTCGACAAATATCAGACGTATATTTCACTTTAAGTTCTACAAGTATACACCAGTTCAGTCACAGATTTATTTTGTAATTCTATCAGATTTCATTGAACTCGACGGAGTTCAGTTTTGAGCCTTTCATTATGATATTATGTTGAAAATATGCTGAGGATGTACTGAAAAGTTACTGCACGTACTCTTAGAATATGGAATCTAGGAATATACCGAGAATGTGCTCTTGCTAATAATACACTAAAATATTTTCAAAATATATTAAGAATAAGAAATTATTTGCAATATCCTCCAAACATTTTCAGATTATATTATTGGAAAATATTGAAAATTCATTCTCATTTCAGCACGTTTTAGATATTTACAATTTTTTCAAACTAAAAAAAATTTTAAATAAAGAATGAGATGTTCCTGCATGAAACAAATTTTTTGATATAGTTTAAAATTTTTTGTTTGTCGCTTTTGTCAACGTTTGATATTTTTTCTTTATATATAATATAAATTTAAGAATATATTTTACACACAGAACATTGTTTTATTTCAGGCCGCTGCTAAAACAAATAAAAAATTCCGCGGAGTCGCATATCGTATTGGATTGTTCCACCGAGAGGATCTACGATGTGTTGAAACAAGCGCAACAGATTGGAATGATGAGCGACTATCACAGCTACCTTATCACATCACTGGTAGGTACCCAAGATTAAATGCGATTAACAATCGACTTTCCGTCCATCATAAGCCACGAAGTAATCCAGAGTAGACGTAAGAGTCATGAAATTGCATCAGGCGCGTTGCTTGTAAGACTAATTCTCGCGATCTTCATCGTCTCAGCCACCTGCGGTTCTCGCTGTCTTCAGTCTCTGTCGAGGAAACTACGTCGAAGGAGTTGACGCTCCCACGAAGATTCTAGATCGATAACTTTACTCCTGGAATATATTCGAACCTCTCGTAAATTATCACTTAAAAAGAGAAATCTGTGTCAATGATTGGTCGGAATTGCCATTCGGTAATCCTCCATGATTACAGCTAAATGTAAAATAGTTCAACATAACGAATGAATAGTGTTCGTATTATTTTGTGACAAATTTATTTCATTATTATTCCCTATAATAATTTATTTCATACTGTCAATACACATACACACACATACGCTATATGAAATCGTGAAGTGATATAATACATTTTATCGATATTATGAATAATTATTGCGGATGAAGTTTAAAAAATATTTTTTAATTTTCTTAAATAGTACATTAATAGTAAATTTATCAAATGTTAAAATTGAAATTTATTAAAAATTATTAAGACAGAATATATCGGCAAGTTAAAGAGAATTCTTTAGATTGACATTTAATATTAAATTAAAAAGAACATAAATTCTCTAGGATCGATAATGCAAATAAGAATCAATAAATTATGTCATGTTCGATGTTAGATTATAATTCCAAGAGAAAGAAATCATTTTCATGAATAATCGATTTAATAGTGAGTGAAAGGTAGGAAGGGTTTATCGCGAAATAATAATACACAAGTATAGATTGTCACTTTTAATTGCAGTATGAGAAGTGAAATTCGTTTTTAAAATTTGCTTCGTCTGCAGGCTTATTGCGAGCAGAATGAAAACGTTAACGCGAGTGCAAAACGCGCAATGTGATTCTCGAACGAGTAAAAAGCGGACACGTCGGCCTGCTGCAGTTAAAATTGGAAGCCGTCTCAGAATAATTAGTAATTTACAGCCGCCTCGACGACACGAGTGGGAGCGAAAAGGGTGGCACTACGTCAGTCGAGACGCGCTGCGAGAAGCGCGTGTCGCGCTGACGCGACATTCGTGACTGCAATAAGTAATAAAAAAATAAATAGAGTTTTAAGCGGACGCTATATAATCACTAGCAGCGCAATTTATCTCGGTACTTTTCCCCCCTCTCCTACTAGATTTCAATTTAGATCCATTAAAATGTAAATCAGCGAGGGTATTTGTTCGAGCACGGAAGAATCGAGCTACTTTTTCTTCAGGCTTCTTTCCGTTAACTCTACTGACAATGGTCTGTTTGTTTTACAAGAAAAACATGGATTAATACTGACGACGAATGTATATACATATTGTACATCGCCAATATCTGAAACAACAGAACGTTTAGCGTCACATTGAATTCTAAATTCATAAAATCACTTTTTCAATTATTTTATTTGATTAATATATTATAAAATCTATTTTATTATAAGAACTAATGCAACTTAACGCTTATTACAAAATCACTTTTATCTTGAATGAACTGATAAAAATTAATATAACATTCGTTTAATATTTATTAACAACTTGAAGAAGATTAATGAAGTTAGCTATGTATGATAAATTTCATTAATAATGTATAATCGCTTTTAATGGTTTCCTTGTAAAATTCACGTCGTTTAACTTAGTTATCAACTCGAACTATTAATTTATAAACTGCGTAAGATATTTACTTTTAATATTAATTATTACGCAAAAAAAAAATCGCAAAAATAAATGGAACGGAACTTTTAAAAAAAAAAAATTATCAAGTTAACTCGAAATATTATCTCATATAGTAGAAAAGCGAGTGATAAATTATTATTAGACGAGTAGACCAGATTTCTCGGCGTGAGAAAATTCGGCAAGATGAAAAGAATAGCTGTTTAATAATTGCTTAATGTTTCGACCGATCTCTATCGCATAGAGGAATTTAACGGTGCCTCGCTCGAGACGATGTCCCGCGTCGGAGACTATTTATTTTCACTTACGTCGGTCAGTCGTCAAGGCTCTTGGAGGGAAAAATTGGCTATCATCCATCAAGCTGACCTTTCTGCAGCACGATCGAGAAGTCCGCATGGCTGTGTTACACACAGCTGTGGTCGGATATAGGTACACACTATGGCAGAGCGTCTTTTCCTCGACGGACTGAGTGAAAGCATTAATGAATCTTGCTTGGTCACTCTGCTTGGCTTTCGACGAATTACCTTTCATCGAATTAAGTTCGCCTCATGAAACAGTGATTTCATGAAATTGTGAAAATCCGTTCTTTCACAGTTTCACGATGAAGCTGAGAGTATGCGAATTTTGCTTTAGCATTCTGCTTGGAATTTACGTGACATCAACGTATCGTCCCCGCGCGATCATTACGGTTATTATGCCTGTTACGGTTACGATGATTGTTATAGTCGTTACAGTCTTGGCCATTAAGGTACTTATTATGGATATTCATCGCTTAGGATGATACGCTCTTGGATTTTCGCGTTACACTTTGGAGCTCTTGAGCTCGGGCAGGAATATCCTATTCCCGCCCTGAAATAGAATATTTCTCAAGCAAAATTCCGTTCAAATAAAACGGCTTTCAACATAGTCTTTAATCAGGAAACTGAAAAACTCGAAAGTCGTTTAAAGAAGTTAATTAAAAAAAACTGCGAAATCCTGAATAACCTTTTAAAGAACTTAAGTTTACTTTAAAAGAGATATATAGATTCTACAGTTATATTTAGAACATATACATACAGTTATATTTAATATGAAATTAGTAAAGTAATTACAACTATTGAGTATGAAAATATAGTCCAATATTATTAGGTAAAAAAATATTTATAAATATAAAATCTCCGAGCTATTTCAAAAGATTTTAATATGAACAGAATTGATTAATTATAGCTTTATGGATATTTCTTATTATTCAATGTTTTTTCTAAAACTAGTTTTTTCTAAAGCTATACTATATCAGTATCTAATATTTCCTTCTGTATAACGTGAGCAAAGTTAATGGAACATTTTATCACGGAAAATATTTTTGTATTACGTTTAGTTATTCCTGAAAAACAAAATAACTAACAAAACTAACAAAATTCTTTTTGGTACATAATTGTCACCGCGATCGTGCAAAAATCAACTGTTAATTAAATATTTAACATACTGCCGCAAACTTTTCTGTTTGACCAAGCCATCATGGGTGGGTACGAAACTATGGTACACATCCGTGTACAAACTGAACGTCTGTCAAACGGTTTCGATACTCTCTGCACCCACATACAGATTTGCTGCCTGTTCCCGTTTCAAACAACAAGTTACGAACCAACGAAATTTCGTGATAGATTCCGTAACAGTCACGCGTGAACGCGTGTTGTGTGAAAAACGATTCTTGCCAAATCTATCATATACCGCGGGCGTCATGATAACGCACTGAGAAAAAAAGCCATTCTCTTTGTTTCTCGCCCGTATGTTAGTTTTGCTGATGAACAAAAATCCCTGATAGTATACGCGGTATATTTATATATATCTTTGCTTACGTGTCAAGAACGGAAAAAAGGATGCAGTAATCTATTTTCCATGTTACAAACGAAAAATATCCGATATTCATGTCCTGACTATCATCAGATCGAGTTACAATAAATATATAATTATATGGTGGCACAAAATGTCATACCATTTAATTTCTTCATTAACATATATTTGTGGAGTATCAGTTTTTTAATGAATGAACATGTTTCTGTATGAGTAAATTTTGTTCTTTGTGGAAATTCTATTAGGTGTGTCATCAGGAGTCGAAATTAGGCAAAAATGAAGATACACTAGTGTATTTGTGAAATGAACAGAATGTCGCACAAAATATGCACAAAATGTACCATTTGCTTTATTATTTTACGTTTAACACATTTATTTTTAATAAAATTGACACAGAATTGGTATAGAATTAATTACTAAAGTCTGGAAAATTGTTTCAAATTGGGCAACATTACGTATGACGTCTCTACTGTGATTGTCTATGATCAATCATGCGACCTGCGCACAATCAAAGACAGAGGGAATAGGACAGAATAATAAATTTTAATTTATTAGAAACCGAAATACGTGGTTTCTGATAAGTTGAAATCTATTATTCCTTGTTCCTATTCCCTATTTCCTTGATTATGAGCATCCCTTAAACACATTGAAAAGCACAATTATCACAAAATTCTCGACGCGCATAACGTAAAAGATCAGCGCATTTGAAACTCATGTTAAATATAAAATGTTGCATATGAAAGAGAGGACACAGAATTGCTACACTGAAAAAGGTTGCACGAGTGGATGCAATAACAACACTTGCCATCACAGCACTTTCGAGCTTTCACCGCCGTTGTTCCCTTGTTTTACCAGTTATTCCTGCGATGACAATAATCGGTGTATACGTATTATATATTATATTGTTTATTAAATGCACGTCGAATGAAGTAATTGGAACTGATAAATAAATGGGATAACATAATGATTTTTCAATGATAAAATGAGCAGAAATTTTTATTTCATTAAACAGTAAGTAAAAGAATTTAATAAATTTAATAACCATTAACCCTCAGTTAATCATTAACACACAATGGAATTAGCGTAATCGTATCCGATTTTCAGCTCATGTTTTCTTTCAATCTCTTTTCACTTATTGCAAAATATCTTTTGTGCTACAATATTTTAGACTTTCTAACTCAAAAATTCTTTTTTTTCAGTCTTCAAATGATAGATTAAAAAAAATTTTTTCGATGGACCACAATCTGAGATACAAGCAAAAGAAAACGCTGGGTTATAAATACTCGGATGTGGGTAGATAAGGACTGCCAGAATTGTGTGTACTGAGGATTATCAATTTTTTACGTTATTTATTTATTCAAAGGTATTAATTATATATATATATATATATA